GCTGTCCCCTCCAGTCCCCTCTGCCTCACCAGGGGAGCAACCCGGGTTGCGCGGCGGCTGGGCCCTCCGTTAATCAACTGATGAAACGTCCTCAGCCCAGAGCCTGCCCAGGCCGCTGCTGCCGCCACCGGCAGGCCTCTGTGAGCGGCCTTTCGCCAGTCCTGAATTCCTCCCTGGTCCGGGCTTCTGCAGGCTGGGCAGCTGCTACTCAGCTGCTCGACAGCCTCCTCTAAACCAGACCAGAGACCAGCTCTGGCGTAACCTACTGCTACTGCAAAGAAATATCGATAGAAACTTGGGAATTACTCACACAAACATCTTGCACACGTTTTCAGTTAACCCATTCCCTGGGAACAGTAACCAGGAGAACCATCAGACCCCAGTTCGCCAACTATAACTCGTTTAGCAGCACTAAAATCTGAGGCTGACGAAATGCTCGGGCAGCTCCTCATCTGACCGCTTCACCTGAACAGAGCCACGGAGACCTGCAAACTCCTCCTACGAGAAAGGGCGTCCTGCTTTGTGGGCCATCTCCTGCTGCAATCCTGGCCTAGCAAAACAAAGTCAGCGCATGCCCTCTCTCTCCTCAAAGCTCGCTTGTCCTTCCCCATTTGCCGACTCCTTCAGTAAAAGCAACGCCTGTGGAAACAGCGAGTTTGTTTAACGGTAGTTTCGATTAATGGCTGCCCGCACAGCTTCTGCGCGCCAAAACTGGCCTCTGAAATCCAGGCTGGAAAGGGGTGCAAAGGTAAAGGCAGGAGTGCTATCAGATAGATAAATATTTGAGTTTCAGGCACTGACTAATGAAGACTAAGAACACTTATGCATACCTCATGCAAATCACCATCAAACTTGAAAGCTTATTTAAAAACGTTTCAGTCAGGATCCTGACAAAGAGCCAGTAGGCAAAATGGAGACCTCCTACATAACAGAAAGGAAACCAGGAAGGCTCTTTGATAAATGAGTTGTACCAATAGATACGGAACAAAACTGGTGTAAAAAGTACAGTTCTCTGCGGTTGTAATTCTGCCAAGACCAGTAACATACAAGAAAATACATACAATAATTGAATTTAACTGTACGAATAAAACAAAAAAGTGTGCTGAGTCACCTTCCCCTAAATCTAGGGCTGTATTCCACTTGCAGATGGTGCTGTCACCATTGTTTAACATGTCTGAAACCAGTAAGATTTCCAACACATCAGAAGCAAAGAAAGGACTTCAATTAAACCGTTTGTTCACTAGCAACACCACCATCACAGACAAACTGCAACAAAACAGTAAAAATGCTACTGCAACCTGCATCTCTCTCATGTGCTACAGAAGAGATGGATTGACCCTGGGGGAATCAACTTCAGTACGTTTTGAAAGGCAGGCGACTGTTCCTCTTAAGAAAACGCAATCCAAAACTATGAGATTTCTGTCACTTAAGCAACTACACTTGCCACGGTAAGTGACCACACGCATACCTGGGTGCCCTGTTAAACCACAAACCACAAGCTGCATCTCATTTCTGCAAAATCCATTGTATCTCCACAACAACACTATAATCTCAGTCCACAATTCTCTTAAGCTAACACATTTCCTTTAAACGTGAGTTACTTTAGGTCAAACTTGTGCTTTCTAAGCATGTCCTTGCGTTCAGGAAAGCAAAGAAAGAGGACACAGTGTGTGCCCTATTGTCACCTGATACCTTCAGAGAGTGGAGGATGGATGAAATGCCTTAAAATTAGTGAGTCAATATTCAGAAATACCACCACATCAGCAGCCTCCAAGCCCACCAAACAGAAAAGCCAGGCCATTACTGTGACTTTCACTGTTCAGTTTCAGGTGTCCACAGCTTCCTGGAGCAAGCACAAACTGAGTCTTCATTATTATATAGTAATTTAGAAATACACAAGCAAACAATATTCTCCATGTTTGTTATATTAGGACGGATTTAGCAAAAGCTTGCTAGGTTTTATGGAGATCAAAGTCATGGACAGCATGACTTTTAGGATAAAAAATACGTAGATTAGAAGATCATGTAAATTAATGCTATTGGGATGCAGTCCTTTTTGGGAAACTTTTTTCAGACTCTATTTTTCTGCATGATAAATTTCAGGACACTGCTTTTTGCAGTAGCAAATGCAAACACGGTGGGAAGACTGACTAAGCATCAGCTTCAGGTCTGCAAAATGTACTGCCTTCTGAAGAAAATTTTTAAGTGTATGTATACGCTTCACAATCTTGAGTCTCCTATTCTTCCTCAGTCCTTCAGTCTATTATCTAGTTGTTCATCAGTGAATCATTATTTCAGTAGCACGGCTACCTTATTCAGGCTCACCTGGCTTTGTTGGTCTTCACAAGTTTAACCCACATACTTGGCTTGATGCAAGGACTTCATTTCTTGTTACTCATCTTCACTCAGCTTTTCCCTCTCAATCTTTCCACTAGCCCAGCAGGAAGAAAATTTGAAGTGATCTTAAATTCATATTCACTGGGGAGTATACATAGATTGCTAACCATTCCATGGTCCACTTCCCTAAAATCTTCTGGAAAGCACAGAGTTTGTTACCATAGAGCAGTTGCCAGAGCAATTCTGAGTAAGAAAATACAGCTTATGCGAACAGTAGGGGGAGAAACTAGAAAAAAACCCACACCCCCAAAACCCCTCACAAAACCAACCAAACAAGAAAAAGATTCTTCTGTCCTGAGATAAACTTGTCTCAAATTACACTTACTTTTAACATGTAGTTCCTCACTCCATTTACAGATGCACCTACTGAAATACCGTGGGGTATGTTCTGGTCAAAATAGTAAAGTACTTGAAGTTGAATGAATTCCAGAAGCTAGGAAGCTATGAGACAGTATGGCAAAGTTAGTGGGTGGCATCCTGAAGTTACAGTACTATCCTTTCAACTAAAATACTAGCATATCATAGTGGAAAAAATACTGTTTGAATGTTATTTAAAGAAAAAAAAAAAAAAGCCTGTGCTGCTTGCTTTGCTGCTGTCCATCAATCTTTTCTAATGTGACATCATTATACGCAAAAATAATTGTTCTCAGGAAATATACTGGTTTCTACTGGAGAAGAAAATTATCGTGAGACCACTCCTGGCAACCTTATTTTAAAAGTCATCTAAAGTAGCAAAACTGAGAAATCCATTTTTAAGTGACAGATAGGCCTCCAGAGGACAGAGTTACAGTTCTTTGGGTTTCAAGGAAAGGATAACCACCACAGCCTTTATAAAGATCACACAGAATTCACAGCCCAGAAAGCGAGAGGTAACACGGGCTTAAAGCCTGCTGCACAGGGGCTTCCATGGCCCCGCTGACAGCCAGGGGGGTGACTGATGTGCTCGAGGACTGCCAGTTACGCTGGCGATGTCGCCCTCTCGGCGGGTGCCTTGCTGCCTCCGTCTTCATCCTCGTAACCAGGGCTCACAAGAGGGCCATTACAAAGCCGGCATCAGCTGTCTATTGCAGGTAATTCTTTTAAAGCTTTCTAATTCTCCGTCATGACTGTGGATCACAAGATTATCAAATAGCTTCCTCTAAAATCGCGGTGCTTTTGTCTCACCTCAAAATGAGTGTCCCTCCCTTACTGTACATTATTTACATGGAGACACCACGTCACAGACGTGAAAGTAGACCTAATGGATATCAAATATACCTACTTTTAAATAGAAAATAATGACTATAATTTTATTATTAAAACCTTTAAACATCCTTCTGTGGATTCTAGGTTTTGGCTAAAAAGGAAGACAACAATGAGAATGACTTATTTTGAAGCACTGATTACCTTTTACATTAATTCAGCTCACGAAAATTATTATTCCTTATCTTAGCAGATACATTTAACTTACCTTTAAAATATTTTGTCTAAAACGTATTTAAAATGTTGTACATAGATAATACAAAATGTTCTGCTTATGTAGCATATTTCTGTGTACTTACCACTCATGTATTTAAGTACAAATACTCTTACCTGAATGCACTGATACATTTTGAAAGTGATGTTATTGACAACAGAAAGCATCAGAACCTGACAAAATCTTGTGATTTGTGTAATAATTATTACCTCTCAACTTATAACTGTGCAAGTTATTACCTCTCAAATATTAAGTGCACTATCAAATAGCTTTATATGTACACATATATATATAACTTAGTGCCAATCTATCAATATATTCTAAATTTTATCACACTGCAGTTGTAAAAATATGCAAAGATTCTGTCTATAAGGTGTCTATTTTGTACATTTTAGCAATGTAAATGAGACTTGCAGCCATTAAACATTTATAACTATACTTGCTTCCAAAAAATTGTACATTTATGATAATATGGGAAACATGTTGATGCTGTGCATTAGTTTTATTCTATACATAAATGTCATCTTGAGCAAATAAAAAGTCAAGGTAGTATAAATGACTGAAAAAACTACTACAGTAAATAATTACAGAGCATATTAATAAAAAAACCAATGAAACATTTTTTAGTACTTTGGTCACGTTTGCAAAATTTATTTTAAAAGCAGAAACAAAACTGATACATGTGTCCACACACACAACACGCATAACACACAGTTCGCATATAAGTATCAACATCTTCCATATCTCTTTCTCAAATTTTGTTTCCACAGCAGTATTTAGCTTTATTTTTAATAAAGACTTCTATTACTTTATTTTAATTAGTTTTAAAATAAAAGAATAATACATTTTTAGAAACTGAAGCTGTAAAAAAAAAAGCCTGCAAATTTAAAGCCTTTAAGCCAAAAAATTTAAGTGGTAACATAGCTAAAGACAGTCAGATTGAGATTGCATAAGTAAACTTTTATGCGCCCCTCCCCTCCACTTAATATTGTGTTTGTTTGAAGTGAAAAGGACTAAATCCTGAGACTAATCAAACTGAACCATGTCACACTATTAGAATACAACAAAAGTATTCTCATGCTGATGGTCACATAAAAATTTTTACATCCTTATACTACACTAGCAAACTTGGAATACTCCTCTCCACCCATTCCAAACTTAATATTCTTAAGACTGATTCCCCCCCTCCCCCAACCATACTCTTTAAAAATCTCAGTTAATAATTTCATTTTGATTAATATGGTAGATGTTTATTTGTGTAACTCATTGCTGTAAGGTGTATATGCTAACGATTTCTAATGTCAAAATGCTGAATATATACATTGCATTGTTTTAACATCTACTAAAATCTTTTGGTAATAATATGTTATGGAAGACTGAGAGCGTAATAAAAAATCATCAAGTAATGCTTCTTCAATAAACCTTTGAATGGGGGTTTCATCCTTGCTGTAACTAAGTGGCATAATGATATACCTTTACACAATATACCAACGGTTGTCTCCAATGTAAGAGGAAGAACAGCATATACAGAACATTCAAATAGGAATATATCCAACTGTAACCCTTGTTGCTTATGTATCACTTGTATATGATTTTTTTCATGTAAAATTAACGCATTACCCGGAAATATTATATAAGTCCTCAAAAATCTGGAGTTTCTTTTGTTTTCAAGATGCTATTTTAGTATTATCGAGACTAAAAAGTGCTGGAGCTTATATGCATAGTGGTTGATTCAGTTTTCCATCACAACTCATGACTGAATTAGCGCAAAACTTTCACTACGTGCAATTTTCTTGTATGATGTAGTAGCAATACAATATTCAGCTCTATTTTTCCAACTGCATTTTTTACCTATGCCAAACTCAGTTAACAAAACAAAGAAAACAACACAACACGTAAGAAAACTTTCGGACAATTCAAATAGCATAATTTTCTATAAAACGTATTCATCTTAAACTTCCCTTTTGACGTTCTCCCCCCTTCAGATTGCCAGAAATACAAAATATGCATCTGGTAATGTAATCCCTAATAAGAAATATTGCTACTGTAAGAGAAATGTAAAAGTCAAACATACTCTATTTGTATGCATTTGACTATCAGCTTTCTAATGCTTTCTAGGTATCATTTTATTGGTAGTAGGTATGCGTGTCCACTCAAACTTTCAAATAATTGTATAAAAGTTAGAAAAATATACTCAATATTTGTTGCATAACTTTCCTATATTCACTCTATCATACATGAATCTTACAAAATGCTTTAGAACCATTTATTAGCTGCAAAAATACCAACCACCGTGCAGCACCTGGAGACAGGTCTTGGTGAGAACGTACAATCCAGTATGATGTGATCTTGAAGGTATTTTTCTTCAGGCTTACAGCTATGTATTTTCACAAGTAAACCCAATAAATATTCAATACTGTGTTCATACGAGCATCCGTGGGCACATAGACCTTTCCTGATTTCATGTTAAATCCTGAAGAAGAGCTGGTGATGTGAAAAGTAAATGACAAAGTCTGATCAACTAAGTACGATAGAATGAACTCCATGTTTAATTGTCACCAAGTTATTTTGCAACAAGCTGATAGACTGTCATTTTAAAAATTTTCCTTCAAGGGCAAAAAATGTTTCTGATATAATTTTTTTAATAAAGTTTTTTAAGTGCTTTTTGTTATCCATTTAAGCAATGACATCATGGGTATCACTGTTGGGTCTTTGGCGTATAGTCAGCGGGGGCAGAGGCTTTCCATAGAAATCTGCGTAAGAAATGTCAGAGAAGAAAAACACATTAATCTGTTATTTACCCTCTCCCTTGCTTAAAGGCTGTTTAAATAAGGTAAATTCTTGCTTCCTTAATGAAAGCTAGGTAGCCTACAAGTTTAGAGCTAATTTGTACAAGCAACTTTCAGACATGGTGCCAATTAATGTCTGGAGGTATATTGGCCAAAACAGGGTTTAATTAGATTTTGTTATACATGTATCAGCATGTGCAAGATCAAGCCCAAAAGTAATCTGTAAACATCGCGAAAAATAGGAAATGAGACATCCAAAGCGTACAAATAACAACTGAAAAAATGAAGTATCAAAATTTGAATGTTGCTGTAGTCAAGTCTGCATTGCAATAAAGTTTTAAGTGACTAATACTATGCAGCATCCAAAATTTTGGGACCATTTATGCATAGCACCTATCTTGAAAGCCACACTAACTTTCTAGAAGAACTATATTAAGAATTTTTAGATAAAAGTGGAACATTTCTTTTTGTCAATAAAGGAGTTTAATGTAGTAAAATTGTTCAAGACAAAGTTATTAAGTACACCAGAAGAGAATGACAAGTATCGTCAAATATTTGGAATTGATATAAAAGAAAAAAACCATGCAGACTGGTACATGCAAAGCATTTCACAAGCAAAGTAATATCATGACATATGGTAAGAGGAAACAGGTAGAAATCAAGAAAAAATAAAAGCAGGTTTTTGAAGCATTCAAATCTCTCTTTCGTTTATACAGACAAACTCGTCTCCAACAAAGCCTTGATGGCCTGCCAACACAAAATTCAGCTTTAATAAACCATAATTTTCCAAGAAAAATATATTCCGCTTGTTCTACATATGCAATAACTTGTGTTAAAATTGCATTCCTGAGCTAAAATTAACAAAAGCAAGCAAGTTGGATTACGTTACTCTAAGAATATGTGTACAGGTCTGTAGGATCAACGCTTTAGTTATCCTTATGTTTAATCAGTAAAATAATAACACTTTTATATTATTGTTGTAAATCCTTTGATTTTAATAGAGCTAATTCAGTGTTACACAGCAGCATGTGAAAAAGCAACAAAACGGCAACAAATGATTACAGGGTAAATGAAAACCTGTACAATGGATGTTTTTATTAGTCACTTTCTTGAGGTCTGGCAAACAACTTGAGGACTGGCAGGCAATTTTACCTCCTATAATGAGAGAGGTTTATAATTCTTGCAAATGTATCCTCCAGTGACAATAAACAGACAGTCATTACCTAGTGTTGTGCTAGAATCATTAGCATGACTGGAAAAATTGCAGTCTTTAGTGAAAATAAGTGTATAATTAAAGATTTATATAATTGACTCTACTGCCTGTTAACTCTGCCTAAACATCCAACATAATGTTCTCCGCTAAGAATGACACAAAAATGACTGACTCTATACTAAATAGCCTGCTCACTAGCACTTAAATTTTTCAGTTTGCATATTAAATCATTAAGACAGATTTACGCCTCTGAGAACACCTAGCATTAAAAACCAGACCTTTGGAGGTTGTTTCAACCTCACACTACACTAATTTTATATATTTCAGCAGCAAGGTCTACCACATATCTGTGACGCTTTCAAAAAAATCCTTTTTAAGACAAAACCAAAGGAATAACTGCTATCCTAACTGACAGAGACCTGTACTAGAATGCATGGGAATACTGAGAGACACCTGTTCCTGTGTTTTTCCATGCACTAGCAGAAATCAACACTACAAAAAGTCATATCTGTTTTGAAGCTTAAGGGAGTTTCTTGACTTACATTGGGGAGCTATCAAATATTTCATCGATACACTCTTGGACTATGTCTTTGAGAGTACTCGTGAAAATCACCTCTATGTATAACCAAGGCTCCTTAAACTTTTAAAAGCAGGCCGTTAAATACTTTTTTCTTTCCTTGCTCTTATGCACACTAACAATTTTACCTGGAGTCCCGACAGAAGCATCTACTGGGCATCCTACTGGAACTGAGGTTTTTCAGCCTGGCCTACAGGAAGGTAGGTGTTCATTTGCCCCATATACAAAGACTTTTCAGCGACTTGGCCAATAACAGTTTGTCAAAGCAAATTGTTCAACAGAATGCAGTATTGCTATAGAAAACAGTGCACTTCAGAGAATCCAAAAGAGCCACAGAAAAGAAAGTCTTACTGAAGTCCCAGGCAAAGGAAATAAAAAAAAAAAAAACAAAACCAAACAAACCAAACAAACAACTCTAAGCTTTCACTGCAAACTCTGCCTTCGAGACATTTATATCAATTAACCATGAAACCAATAAGGAAAATAAGCCTTTTTATTTCACAAAGGTTGAATGGCTAAAAAAACTTTTAAAACCACCTTTACAGTGAATTTTGGGCAAAGCTGGGGGGGGGGGGAATCAAACTTGATTTATTTCTCTGCTGAAGGGACAGCCAAAAAGAAGTTGTTTTTCAGAAAGATGCAATTCAGGCAATATTCTAAAAAATGGATCAAAGGTAAGCTCCACTGGTCTTAGGAAAACTTGAATGAGTTTCCAAGCAGGAGCAGGTTCTCTGGCTGCAAAATATATTAAAAACTCATTGAAAAACACTGTTGCGTGACAGAAAACGGGCAAGGACAGATGGCAAGCTAAAATCAGTGCAAGATGGACTTCGTAGTGTTAGGTTAACGGTTGAACTCAATGATCTTAAGGGTCTTTTCTAACCTAAATGATTCTATGGCTCTCAAATGGTCTGAGTAAAAAAACAACTGCTTTAAGCAAAATAAGTAATTGATGCTCTTTGATATCAGGACCTAACTAAGGGTTTGACAATGCTGGACCATGCGTTTGAAGAGCTTTTTTCATTTCTAAATAGTGCTTTCCTAATAGATGTTTTCTTGCTTTCTCAGGATTTTCTGTATCTGTGTGAATCTTGTGAGTGTCTCAAAATTCCTGAAAAAAACAAAACTCAGCGAAGAGCACGCAATGTCTTGAATTCAGCTGCAAAGTTCTGAGCACTCCAAGTTTCCTCTGATCTCAATGGTTACACCTCTAGTCAAGAGATCGTTACCCTACCAACATCTTTTCCATTGTTAGATTCTGAAATACTTTAATTATTATCCTTATTTTACAAATGGACTAAAATAACACAGATCTCAGGTTACTAACTTACACACTTGTGAGTAGGGAACCTAGCTTAAGCAGCTTTTTAAGCAGCTTTTTCCTCTTTGCCCCACCCATGCTCTTGCTACAAAATGCAACACCTCCCTTAGGCACAGATAAAAATTGAGTATCGCTCCTTCCCTTTCTTCCCCTCCCTACCTCTTCATCTGGCTTTTCTTTCTTGCGGCCTTCTCTCTATATGCCTTTAAGAAAAAGAGCAAGATGGTTTTATGATTAAGACTACAAATTACATTTTATACACATGAATTACGCTCCTGTGAAAATAAATATCTAGTTTGTAGAGATCTTAATTCCCCTTTAGGCAACTTTTGATTCTTTGGCAGAGAAACTCCATGTTCTGTTGCTTCAGAACTTCAGCAGGTATGTCCACATGGTGCTGTACTACATGATAGCAGTACAGGCAGTTCAAGTCAGGGTGAAGCTGAAGGATCACTACAGCCACACTGAGCTCCCTTCTCTAAGTTCCTCTATTAATGTTCTCTTTGTTCTATTTGTATAAGCGTTCCCATTGCTTTAGTTTGGTTATCCTCCTCTTCACTTATCCAGATGTCTCCACTTGGCTTTTCAAAATTTGAGAAACAAAAATGTAAGAAAAATGAAAGAAATTATCATCTAAAACTGAGAAAAAGATCCAATATAAGCATATGAAAAACAATCTTCCATGGTCTTCCAAAAACAGAAAATAGTCATTATTGAAGAGAGAAATCAGGAATCTGCCTATTACACCTTGACATTTCCAGTTATTAAACTTATTTCTCCTATCAGTTTGTGAACTTTCAGGGACACTGGCTCTTCAGGTAAAGCAGCAGATCCCAAGCTTTATCACTGAAACCTCTCCTTGCAGACCAATAAACCTAGTTTTCAGTTGGAAGTCTCACTGCTTCTGCAATCAAATTTATGTTGGGCTTTTCATCATAGCTGGGATCGCAGTCCCTCATTTGGAGTTGCTAACATAATGCACTTAATTCAGAGGTGCCCACATGTCTTTAGATTTCCTTCTCACAAGAAAACACCCCCAAATCAATGACAAAAATCTGACAGGCTACGCTTTTAAAACCATACGGAGACAGTAGCAGCAGAGAGAAGAATTTTAGACTATCTCAAGAGGCAACACAAGGAGTCAGTTTACACACAGCAAATTCATCTGGAGGTGGGCTATGGTTCACAGAACTACAGAAATACATGGGGCCCATTTGGGTTCAATATTGTGAAGCAATTAGCACTTCCAGATCAGAGCATAGGATCAGTGTGGAAACAAACAGGCAGCTTAGTGCAGAACCAGCCTGGATGTGGAAGAGCCACTATGGATCCCAAATTAGTAAGCCCTGCTGGATCTCTGCAGTCCTGCTTAGGTTTTCCTGAAGTATCCTCTCTGCTGAATAACTCAGACTTCTTCCAGTAACCAGGTAACCCAACTCCTGCCCCCCCCCTGCATCAAATAATGATGCACTGTCTATATATGGACAATGGAAATATGCTTTGAAACTTTTATTTTGAATGCAATGTGTTTTGACTCTTAAAGTAACTGGTCCTGTTACTCTTTGTTATATGGCACATTATAATATTTAGGTGCATGCTGCTGTGCAAATAACTTCGGATCACTTATAGCTTCCGATATCCTGTGCCACTTTAAACTTCATAAGGGAATCTAAGAGAACTTACTCTTTTTGGTAAAAAAGAAATAAGACTTGAAAAATCAAAAAGATGCTTTCTACTAAGCAAAAGGGTTAGCTTTTGGTCAACGAAAATTTGCATTAAGAAATTAAAAAAAGATAAGAATGAAATGAATGTAGAAGTGAATGAACAATGGAGAATGCTTTAAAAAAGTACAAAACTCAAAGTATTTTCAATTACCAGCATGATGTGTTTCACCAAGAGGCTCAAGTTTTCGAAGTCTATTAAGTTTGGGAGTTCCCCAGCCAACTAAAGGAAAACAAAGACAGTCAAAAGGTGCCACGACTGCACTTGATTCTGATGAAACATACAGAAGCCAGTTCTCTTTGGGAGAAATCAAAGCATTTAGAAATGCCAAAAGCATGTAATCTATTGTATATGTGGCGAATAATGATGAAATCCTTTAAAAATAAACTGATTTACCCTTAAAAATATTGATATTTTTAATCACTTTTTCATCAGTGAGTAGTCAAGTTTCTCACTCTTTTTTATGAAAATAACATGGAACAGATCAAATCAATACTGCTGAAAGTTCATACCATGAAGTGGGAAACTGCATCAAAGATTTCCTAGAGAGCAAGGTTTAGTGGCATATCTCCATATGAAGACCATTCCAGTTTCATCATTCGCAAATTAATATTTTAAAGGATTAATAACCACAAATTGAGACATCGATTGTTGTTTGTTAGTACACTTACCTGGTGGAAGAGCTGGTGGTGGTGTAGGATTTTTGGGAACAGTGTCCTCTGCATTAATAGGTTCTACTCTGTGGCCCCTTTTTAATTTTGTTTTTTTATTTTTTTTCTTATTGTTATCTATACCAAACAGAAATAAAGCATTACATATCATGCAGTTATATTCATAGAATCTCTTAGATCACCTTTTAATACAATTGTTGCAGTAAGATACATCAGCATTTTCAGTCCAAACTTAAACATTAAATTATGTGAAATGTAAAATTTACACAACATTTTGCTATAGAAAATAAACTGTAAGCATAAAATATATGCAAACTCTATGTTTTAATACAGAAATTCAACTTAGCTTGGTACTGATGGATAGTGGACCACGTATTTGATTATGATAAAAATGAACCTAGTTTCAGCTACAGTATCAGTCACACCAACAAACATGTACTTTTTCGAAGCAGATTTTCCAATACAATAACCTAATGGTGCATTTTTATGTTTTCAATAGATTAAATTGACGTGTGGTATCGTGAAAAATAATACAGACAGAGGGAAGAACTATGTGAAAAATAACATTAAGTGACACATTAAAAGGAAGCACTTTTACCTGAGTCAAGGCATTCTGAGGCTTGCTGCTCATTCTCTTCTTCATGCTGCAAAAGCTGTGTAGTTGTAGAATTGCATGTTTCTAGTCTACTGTCATTTGTATTTTGGCTACTGCTACTTGAGAAGTGCTGGGCATCCGTTTGTTCCTGCTCTGTTTGCGATTTCAAGACAATCGTAGCCTTTTCAGTCTCCAACCTTTGCCGCTTCTTTTCCTTTTCAATTTGTTTTTCATTCTAACAAAAAGTGTAAGAATTTTTTTTAACAACTTCTAATGCTGTAAACTGACTAATAAGACAAGAAGGTTATTTTGAAAATCAAAATATTCCTAAAATATTTTTCTGTCCCACATCTAGCATAGAAAATATTTTCCAATAAGTGAAGAAATTAAATTTCCAATATTCTGTCCAGAGGAAAGGGAGAAGGAGGGGAAAAAAAGGAGATTAACAGCAAAAGAAATGATCTTTAGGTTTATAAGCCTATTTTCTTGCTTTCTTTTTGGTCGCATGACAAAAAAAAATGCTAGCTACATAAACAACATCAACAGTCCTGAGCAAAAGGTTAGAAAACTCCTAATTTCTTCCTCTTCTTTTTTTTTTTAAAAAAAGGTTAAAACAAAATACACATGCACAGAATTAAAGTATTCAGAAAGTGCTACCATGATTTGGTCAAATACCAGTTGTGTCACACAGACTCAATGATAGGCTGTTTCCCAGGGTCTATGTGACTAAATCACTGTCTCTGCAATACTCACAGCTATACCCTTCTCTTCTTACTCTGTATGTTATTATAAAGCATATTATTGTGCATGTAGCTGACTTTACAAGATATGGGCGCTTTTGTCCGGGAGAGAAGCAAATGTTTGAATTACTTACTGGACAAGTCTCTGAGTGTTTATGTGTTTCTTGAGATTATGTTATCTTAAGTCCACTGAATAAAAAAATATGGTACAATAAATAAGAACTACCTGAACTCAGAAACACAGGTTAAGGAAACTTTATATATTAATATGCTTTTCATATTTCAAAGCTAAGAAAACCTCTCAATTGTCTCAGCTTTCAACAGAAAACAGGTTACGCTCAGAAATCTAAATAGTTGAAGTAGTCAGGGAGATTTTATGACTCACTACATCACTGAAACACTTTACAAGAAATTAAAAGAGCTTGAATATTTTCTAGGCCTGAATATCCAATAGTTTAATTAGGAAATGTGTTCAGTCATCTGTTTACAATACCTTTATTTTACTGTGTCTACAAAACTTTTTGTCCCTGAATCAATAATAGGGGATTTTCTTAACATGAAAGCGTTGATTCAATGCACACAAGACTGCCAAGATTAAAAAAAAAAATTAAATAATGCTGTGCATACAGAGTTAGAATGATTCTTTTAAATGAACTATTTTTCTCATTACCTCTCAGACATTTGTTAGTAGTAGGTCTAAAATGATCCAGATTTCCACATATTGTCATACCTCAGAGATTACAGCAGATATAGGCTGGAAGGGGTTTTCAGAGTTCCCAGGCTCAGGGTCTTCCTCATCAGGTACACTTCTTCCTTCTTCTCTTTCC